TATATATCCATCTCAAAGAAGATTGCTACCTCTGCTTGCCTGAACATTTAGAAGAGAACTCCTTCCACAAAGAGACTCCGTTTCTCCGACTGTAGAATGGGTCCAATGAGGAGGGGAGAGAAATTTCACAGAAGAGTATTTCCCCAAATTTCATCTACTTTGGTCCTGGTTGTATTTGTGCACCATCTTAAAACAAAAGGTCTATGTGATTGAGGGTGTTCAAGTTTGAAAAGTAGGAGATATTGATATTGTTAAAATCTCCCCTTGATATTGTCTCTGCCCAAGGCATGTGAGACTGAGGCCTTCTTTGATTTGTTAGGAGAGGAGGTTTCAGATGGTACAGAGATGTTCAGGACACATTAATGTCAAGCAGAACATTCTCCTTGATGCAACCTGAAGAATGGGACGGTAACTAAGAAGGTAACAATTGTCCTGAAGTGACATTGGGTGTTACTTAAGGTACTGTGACTAAACTCTCCCTCCCCTGCCATACCCTACACTCTGGGAATGAAAGCCAGCATCGCAGAGTGAACTCCTTCACTTGACCTAGAAGTTGTCATGACACCTTCATGTCACCTGGTGTCACGCTCAACACATGACATCTCCTAAGAACCCAGTGAACACAGTACAGGAGTGAATGGTTACCTGTGCCCTGTGATCAGTAAGTGTTCAAAAATAAAAACAAAAAATCAAGTGCTAGGTGTGTGCCCTGTCTTATTCACTGTCTTATTCAACAATGGGATAGTACCTCTCTGGATAATCATAGTGAAATAGAACTGATTAAGATGTACATACACAATCCCACTGCTGTGGAATTTTGGTGAGTGGGCTGTCCCAACTACAAAACACACTGGTGACAAAGGGGTGGACCTCAGTAGTGGTAAAACTTGATTCCCACTCAGACTCATGGAAGACTCGGACTGCCTGGAAGCTACTGAGAAGTAAGTCATTATTACTTATAATAAGTGAGAGCCCTGCCTATAATAATAGAATGTCCTTCCCCTACATAGTAATTCAAAGGGAACAAGGAAAAGCATTCACTTTTAAGGTTGATATGTTTGGGGAACTGGACGTGCCTATCTATTCTTAGTCTTTTAAGAGGTCCCAGCACCTCCCAGTGAAGCTTGGGAAAACATCCCAGGAGACACTGCCGCTGAAGGAGATTTCCTTTGAACCTGTGAGCTGGAAGATCACAGCCCACATCCTGCCTTTTGAATGAAGTGCCCTGGATGACTTTGGTCTATAACAACAAACAGTACTTCATGGTGTCTGGGCTCAGGGATGCAATGGCTGTTCTCCTAAAAACCATTCAGTTCCCGAGGGCTATGCCATGAGAAACTGGGGAGCAAGGTTCCCAGAGGATCCAGATCCTACAGGTCAGAGGTCTAACTATGGCCTTTGGGGAACTTTTTTTAGCCAACCCAGTGATTTTTTTTTTTTTTTTTTTTAGTTCACATCATAGAATTTTACCTAAATATCTAAATTCTAAATTCTCTAGAGGAAACAAAAGACATGATTAAATGGATCTACAATCCTGAACTCATCCATTCATTTGTTCATTCATTCAATAAAAATTCTCCACCCGCTGGTCCAGACCCTTAAACAAACCAGGTAAAAGTCTCCACATTTGTGGAGTTTAGACTAATGGATGAGAGAGACGAACAATAACCTACTGAACTAACAAATCTCTACTGGGTGGTATGGAAATCTGACCTGCAAAGAAAATCAAAGCATTATAAAGCGCAAAAACCAGCAGTGCCCAAGAAAAACCTTTATAATTAGTAACATCTGAGCAAAGTCCTAAATAAAGTGAAGGAAGAGCTCTGGTACTATCTGAGGCTAGAATATTCTAAACATGAAAAAGAGCAAACGCAGAGGAGTTGGAACAGGGGCAAGTTCACTGTGCTGGGAAAAACAGCAAGTGGGCTTCTGGGCCTGGAACAGAAAAGAGGTGAGAGCAGTTTTAAGTTGAGGTTAGGGAGATAGCAGGGCCCTCCCAGCAGGGCCTTGTAAATGTGGTCAGGAGTTTGGGTTTCATTCCAGTGGATGGAAATCATGGCAGGATAAATTGTAAGTTCTTCCTAAAGACTACCCTGGGTACCACATGGGAAATGGATTATAAAAGAAGAAGGATCAAAGCATGGAAAGAGGTGAGGAGGTCCTTTAAGATGAGGCAAGGAGTGAGAATGACATAACACAGTGTTCCATGAGACTGAAGGGCAGTAGCTCCATGTAGATAGATGGGTGCAGGCTTTCCAGGTCACTGGAACCTCTATCTGGTTCCCTCTATTCACTAAAGAGTGAAGGCTGACCATTTAAAAGATTTCAGAGGCAAGGAAGAGATAGGTTGCTGTAGAGCCAAGGTCTCTTTCAACCAAACTCCACAGTTACATACATATGTTTTCTGTGGCTGCCAAAATAACATATCACAAAATGGAATGAATGCAAATGGAAATGTATTGCTTGTGGTTCTGGAGTATAAAAATTCTAAATCAATGTATCATCAGGGCCATACTCCCCCCAGAGGACTTAGCCAGGAATCCTTCCTTGTCTGCTCCAGCTTTGGTGGCTACCAGCTTTCACATCTTCCTCTGTCTTTGCATTCCTTCATATTGTGCCTATCTTCTGAGTGTCTAATTTTCCATGAGTATAGCTCACAAAGACTCTGGTCATTGGATTTCAGGCTCACCCCAATAACCCGGATGATCTCTGTGTCTCAAGATCTTAAAGTTAGTTACATC